TTGTAATAACTAAGGAGTAAGAGAAGCCTGATCCTTATAGAAACCCCATCAAAACTGAAAAATAAATTGCATTTCTATTTTCTCCCCCTTTAATCAATAATTGAGGCCCTCTGATCTAAGGAGAAGACTGATACAGGGCCTTTGATATGAAATAATCTCATCGGATGGTTGTAAATTATAGGGCATGTATTTGCTTGGGTTAGTATTCCAAGCAGGTTTGAAAGCAATTTCTTGTGATATTTTATTTTTTTTAACAACAAAGCAGGAGCCAAAATGTAGTGTGGTCTAGCACTTCTGTAGAGCTAGCCATTCTTAAGTATTTTATGTTCAGTTAAGAATGTATTTGCAGATGTTGAGACCTGTTATATCACATTTAATATTGGTGCAATTGTATGAAATGATCCTGTTGATAAGCTTAGCAACGAGTGGGTCAGATTTGTAGGTAAATATAAGGCTATTTGGGACTGATGTGCAGAAGAGGTGTGACTTGCTTAAATTGATACCTTCTTTTGTCCTCCTGTTTGGTTGCTGTTCTTGCTATATTCTCTTCCCATTCCTGTGTGTGTTACAGTACAGACTTAGTGGCTGTAGTTGCAGGTCATGCGTAAGTAATATGGGTTGAAACAAAACTATGTATTTCATGCTGAGGGGTTGCAAACTTGTAATTCATACCAATTTGGATTTTCTTATATTCGTGTCTTAAGTGGCAGGCTTTTCTGAAATACAAAGTTCTCCTTTATGTTCAGTTCTCTGCTTTGCTATTCAGTTGTTGAAGTCATACACTGCAGTCATTCCTTGCAAAAACTATCTCTTGCTTTAGCTCATGTGACCTTGGTCATCCATTTGATGCCCTTGGTGCATCCGATCGAAGTGCTTCATTCAGTGGCTCCATAACTGCAAACTTTTATTTTCTAAGCTGTAGGAGTCAGCTGAAATATGTGATGTGATTTTTAAAAGGAACTGTTTCAGTAGGTACACAACATGTCCCTGGTTTCTCCCAATATGCTACAGTACTGCAGTGCTTTTAAATTTTAAAGCTTTTCTGTACCTATAAATAGTGAATAATAATAATCTTTGGAGTGGGAAATAAGGAGGAAATCTTTATAACTAACTTAGGGACCTGAGAACCTGTTTAAAAATATGTGGTTTATGTGCTGGGCATTCATAAAACTCAGTCATTAAAAGTTTATAGGGGAAAAAACCCTGATCCAAGACTTATATGGAGTTGTCAGGTATTTCAGTATTTGCCTTGATGCTGGCTTTAAAAGAAGTGCAAGGTCTGACTGAGATGTCTTTTTCTCTTTTTTAATCAGGTATTTCATTTATGCCTAGCTTGAAACTGAATTTTTTGCATGTTGGGGTTTTTCCTTCTAAATTCCTAATCTTTGGTTTCAGGGAGAACAAGAGAGTGCTTTGTGCTCTAGCTTGATGCAATCTACAGGATTCCAGCCTCTGAATGAGGTGTCATGAGAGTGTTCTTGTTTACTTTGTTTTTCATTGCCACACAGTGATAAAACAGCAATATAAACTAGCTGATAGGGTGGTTAATGAATGTCACAGTTGAACTGTTCCCAGGGGAAGGATGAGTTTTTGGGATCTCAGTGTGAGGTGGTGCAAGCCACAGCAGTCACCAAGGGTTATGAGCAGGGCCAAGAAGCCACAGGAGGCTTTTGGTTCACATCAGTTTCTTTACCTTTTCTACTCCTCACTGGGGAGAGACATATCTGGATACTCTCTGGTCAGAGCTTGTCCTGGGCTCTGATTTGGCCAGGTGTGGGGAGCAGGGTATCCTGGGAGGCCATGTGCAGTTAGGGCTAGCTCCTTGACTCTCCCCTGCTAGGTGATAAATGTGTTTGCCATTTGGGTGGAAGAGGAGAAGTGCAACTACTTGGAGAGCTTCTTAATCATCTCACCATTGTCCCTGGAGCTAAAGGGAAGCAGGATGAGGTAACTGTGAAAGTCATATCAGTCTCATAGCCTTTTAGTTGCTTTAGACTCTAAAGACTTTGGAGGTATGTTTTTAGGGAAGTTGCAGTTTGGTTGCTTTTTCTCCCCTAGTTCCTAGGATACATGAGATTGATGTAATGCAGACATAATCAAGTCCCAGAAATGGCCCCCACACAGCAGGTTTGAGTGCTCTTGGCTTAATGTATTAGTAATTATCCTGAGCATTGTGGATAGAAATGGCAACTCGTGATCCTTCCTGTGTAGTTGTCTGTATTGCTAAATCCTAAGGATTAACAACTGGATAGAGACAGACACACTGAAGAGTGAACAGCCGTGCTAAGGTCAAATTAGGTCTGCTTTGTGTATAATGCCAAGATTTTTATAATTTTCTCTTAATTCCCATCTGTGAGCTCCTCTCTTAAAACTAATGAATGTTATTGCAGATACACAGCCTGTGCGACTTAGTGTTGTTCTGAATATGAGGTTGTACAGCATTAGACATGAAGGGTGGTTGTGTTTTACCCACCTATATAACCCTGCTCTAAAGCTATTTGAGAGCCTCTTTTATTTTACTTTTCTGCCTACATTTTTGTGATTAAGAGGTATTCTCACCTGGCTGCATCTGGCACCCTTCACTGTCAGCCTTCTCTAGAAACACTGCAGTCTAAAAGATAGCCAAGTATCAACGTTTCTGCATGGAAAGCTTTGTCTCTTAATTTAGGTCAGTACCTTAGTGTGCTGTGAACAGCAGAATGGTTGTGCCCATCTTTGCTATATAATAAGTGTGTGCAGTAAACTGATCCTACCTGCCTGCGTGTAGCACAGCTCTGCCCACGCAAAGCATACAAGAGAGGGAGCGGCGCTAAAACGAATTCCCTGCCAACCACGGGTGAGCAGCTGTGATCCCAGCTGGCGGGTGGGATGTTCACCTCCAAGAACAGGACTCTGGAGTGAGCAGCAGCCCTGGTTCAAACTAAAAATCCTCAAAGCGCTGGGTGTCCTGTTCTTTCTGTCTGCCTTCTCTCCACAGGAATCATCAGCTTCTGTTGGTCAGTAACTGGAATTTTCTTGTGGTCTTTGTGTTTTCCACATTGTCTCTCCTAATTTGCCTCCTTAGGAACTCCAACTTTGGTTGTTTTCTTTTTGTTGTTTTGTTTGGTTCCCTACCCCCTGCCCCTTAATGGGACAAGAATCATAGACTCAAAGAATATGAAGGGGTTGGAATGGACCTTAAGGATTGTCTAGTCCCCTGCCCGTGCCATGGGCAGGGACACCTCCCACTAGACCAGGTTGCTCAAGGCTTTATCCAACTTGACCTTGAACATGGCCAGGGCTGGGACATCCACAGCCTCCCTGGATCGGGCAAGGAAATGGCTGGGGGAATTTATCACTTGCCCTAAGGATTACAGGTGGTTTTGAGCTCTTTTTCAGCAGGCTTACTCCTCTCTGTAAATGTTTGTTGAAGGTGTTTAGGAATTTGTCAGAAACCCTTGTCTTGGGGAGCTGGGCAAAACCAGAAGTCAGAAACTGTGTGTTCTTGGTGCTAAGTCTGGGGCAGTGCTAGGGCCCAAAATATCATTCACAAGTGTTTATACTGCCACAAGTGGGCCAGACACTTACCCTGTATAACAGGACATGCTGAGTGTGGAGTGTTTTTGTAGAAGATTTTAAAAGAGTAAAAGCAGCATCTCTCATAGGGTTGGAGGGAGTCTTGACACTTAGAGCCTTATAAAGGCTTTGGAGACATCAGGTTTATTCTGGAAAAGAATCCCCAAGAGTGGGTTCCTAAAGCTATGAAGAAGCGTTGGAATCGCATAGAAAATACTAATTCCAGAGTATTTACACAAAATCACAGAAATAATGCTTGTGGTAATGGTTTTATTGTGGGTTTATTATTTAAATTTATTTAGAATCTTTCACGTTGTTTGATTTGGACTATTTTTCTTCTTTTTTGACCTTTGAACTGTGATTTGTAAGAGTGTGTACTTCTTTCACCCTCTAAAAATAAGGACAGGCAAGGATTTGTGTCTTTTGCTGTGAAAACACTTTTTCCAGCTGTACGAAAAAGTCTGAATTGTGTAGGTTTCTATTGCTTGAAATGCTTAGTGGAGCAATTGCTTCTGAAGATGGAGATATTTGGCTGATTTTTATATGACTGGAAGTCATGAAGTAGTTGATACTGAAGTTGAGAATAGGTCTCAGAAGAGAACTGATATTAGTTTTTAGCCACCAGCTAAACTTTGATAGCAATTTATTAATAATAGCACATAGTGAGATGGTGTTCAGAGGCAGTAATCATCAATATTTGCTGTCAAATGTGGCAAGTAATTTTTATAGTACTCATTTTGTAGTTGTGTCAGGAAAGACATGAGCAGGAATAACATCTAGCTGTGTGGTATGTTTAAACAGAATAACTGAAGATCAAGGATCCTTCTGCAGCTGTGAAGAGGAAGCCAAGTACAATATCCTTGCTTTCCTGTGAATGGTATTTGGGGGGACCTTGTGTTCAGACTAAAAATAAAGGCACAGCAAGTCAACTTATGTTCCTAAGAAACCTTCCAAGGAATTGTGTTGTGGAAATGCAAATTATGTTTTCACTGCCTATGTAGTAAGCTCTGGTTTTTGTGTTTGCTTTTTTCGGTTTTTGTAACTGACATAATTGCCATCACTTTTCTCTACAAAGAATGTCTGATTTCCAGATGACTGTTTCTCATGCTACGTCAAATGGGTGCAGTATATACACACAGTAAGGTGGGAAGAGTTCTGACACGTCACCTTAAGAGAAGGAAGGAGCAGAAGGTCCAGATTTAGAGCCAAATAATCCTCCAACAATGTAATTTAGTTGAGCAGGGGATTACTTCTGTAGTGTCTCTATTGCTTATACCTGGAAGAGAAATTTGGTTTTGTTTTGAAATCTTTACACACAGTAGTTGATAAGAAATTATATAATGGTGTAGGAAAGAATGCATTTAATGAGAAGGTTGTGATTCCAAGGTGCAGTCTGCGATAATGTTACAAAGCAATCATGTGCTGTTGCCTTTGTATTTTCCCAGATGTTTCTGACAGTATACCTCAGTAACAATGAGCAGCACTTCACTGAGGTGCCAGTCACCCCTGAAACAACCTGCAGAGATGTGGTGGAGCTGTGCAAGGAGCCTGGGGAGAGCGAGTGCCACCTTGCTGAAGTGTGGTGTGGCTCAGGTAGGTCAGGCTGGCACTTTGTGAATTACTGATAAGATAGCACATAAACACCTGACAGACATAATACTGTCTCAGAGGGCTTCTGCGTTACCATTTTGTTACTCTTCATCAGACTGGCTGTACAATAACACACCTGCAGAAAGGCTCACACATACAAAAATGAGTTTAAAGCAAAAGAAAGGGACTCAGACATGCAGATGTTCTTTACTAGGCAGCCCTTCTCACTCAAACAAGTTTCTGAAGGGTGTGAGGAAATTATTTTTTTCTTTCTCCTCCTCCCCATAATGGGATCCCAGTGGCCTGTGTGTAGGGGTTTTGAAGTAGTATTAGTAGTTCTGTGTCCCAGTCAGAATCCTTTCTTCAACAGCACAGCCATTTCCACCTGCAGTGGCAAGGGAAAACTTCTGTTTTCTGATGACACCTTCATTGCTATTGATTATGTTAATTGAGTTTGGAGGGGAAAGGAGTGTTACCTGAATGGTAGAGTAGTAGGAAGTTACCTGATGTTCAAACGCTCTAAAGGATGTGAGTGACAGGGAAGACATAGAAGCTGCTTTTCACTGTCCCCTGTACTTTTAAGCCTCTGGAAGAAGGGTTTGTATGTGTGGTCTGTTGTGCTATTTTTAAATTTTTTCTATCCTCTTGCTGGGATTTTTTTTTTGTAAAATTTCTGTCTTGGGAGTTCAGATCTCTATACCTTGCAGTTCTCTATTGGAACTGAAGAACATGTCAACACACAAATCAAAAGCTAAAGTATGGTGAACTTCTCATGGCTTAAATGGGAAAGGACTGGGCTATCTCCTGTCTCCAGTATCTCTTTAGATACTGGTAGCCACTCAGACACATATGACAGATGAGTCCCTGACAGGATTTCTAAGTCATGAAAAATAATTATATTTGAGCCAACTTGTTCAAGATGCTTCAATAAGATTATAAAAGAATCAGATGGTAAGGGCTTATGTTGCTGTCTTCCTCTGCTGTTGGCTCAGGCTCCCATCTGTTCAAAGATGTCTTTGGTGAGAGGGATGTTTGTTTAATAATATAAGATACCTGAGTTGTCTCTTGATATTTAGCTGCTTCTGACAGAGATGTAATGTTTCTGATATTTTGAAGTTTAAAAAATGGAACAGAATGTTTTTCTTCTCCATGGAAAGTAGAGTATCTTCTTGATGAATGTTAATAAAGTAAAATCATCAATTTCAGCATGGAAAGAGATCTTTCAGTTTGTATTTTTATTGTACATCTTTATCCAAGTCAACACAATACCAAAATCTACAGTGAAAGGCAAGTAAAACGAAGGTTTAGGTAAAACTAATAAATTTGTAGTTACCATTAGCCCCCACGCCCTGGTAAAGAGCACAGGTGGTTTTGGTGAGGAACAGGGTTCTCCTGTTGTTACTGAAGTTAAAGCCTTGCTAGAATAGGCAGTTCCTCTCCTTGTATTTCCTGAATCTGGATTCTTGATTGGCTTTTGAGATGTTGATGTAGAGGATGCTGCAAAGGGCAGCGAGATTGTCCTGAAATCAGGGGAAAGCACCTATATTGTCTGCAAGTACTTAGTGTCCAAGTGGTCTTGTTAAGCTGAAATGTGAACAACTGGGTGAGTGGGGACATATAATATGTGGAGGTCTAGTCATATACTCAATTTGTCAGCTTCTGTGCTAGTCTGGGAGATGTAAGAAAATAATCTGGATACAGAAACAAAGAGTAAAGCACTGCAGGGAACTTTTTCTGAGATTGATCTTTGCAAAGATGTCATGAGATACACAAGGACAGATGTCTAAATGTTACTTGCACAGCTATTGTCATAAGACAAAAAGCATTGCATCCATTTTTACAGTGAAAACCTTGACAATTGTTTTAGAAATCAAATTATTCTTGTTCCCTCCACTGATCCTGTCGTATTTACTAGTTTTATATGCTTTTATTTCCAGACGTGTGTAAAGCTGTATATAGAATCATTAAGGTTGGAAAATACTTCCAAGACCAAGTTAAACCTTTGACTAAACACCACAGTGCCAACTAGACACTAGCACTAAGCGCCACGTCCAGTCATTTCTCAAACGCTTGCAGGGGTGGTGACTCCACCACCTCCTTGGGCAGCCTGTTCCAATACTTAACCACCCTTTCAGTGAAGAAATTCTTCCTGAAATCCAATCTGAACCTCCCCTGGCACAGCTGGAATCTGTCCTTTCATCCTGTCACTAGTTGCCTGGGAGAGACCAATCCTCACCTGGCTACAATGTCAGGTAGTTGTAGAGGGCGATAAGGTCACCCCTGAACATTCTCTTCTCCAGGCTAAAAAATTCCAACTCCCTCAGCAGCTCCTCATAGGACTTACCCTCTAGACCCTTCACCAGCTCTGTAGCCCTTCTCTGGACACACTCCAGCACCTCAATGGCCTTCTGGATTTGAGGGGCCCAGAACTGGACATAGCACTCGACGTATAGCCTCACCAGTGCCAAGTACAGGGGGACGACCTGTTCTCTAGTCCTGCTGGCCACACTGTTTCTGATACAAGCCAGGATGCCATTGGCCTTTGCCACTTGAGCACCCTGCTGGCTCATGTTCAGCTGTTGGGACCAGCACCCTCAGGTCTTTTTCTGCTAGGCAGCTTTCCAGTCACTGCATGTGACTGAAGGGCAGGACTTGGCCTTATTGAAGTTTGAAATACAGTTTCAAATTGTACTTGTTAACAAAAAATAAGGTAGTTTCAAATCATGTAACATTAATAGACGAGTATTGGATATGTGCATGTTATTTTGGATAAAAGAAATAAGTGGCTGTAACAACCATTTGCAAGATATGTTTTGATGGATTTTTATGGTGGGGGGAGGGGGCAGTGAGGGACAGAAATACCTTTAGCTTTTTCTAATCACATTTTAGATGTCAGCAGAGTTCTCTATCTTGTTTTGCCAGGATACACTATCACTTTGTTTTGTGTATTACACTGAACAAATTAAATTGCTTTAAAACAAACATGGTGCAGGACCACTAACCTTTTGCAGTAGAAACACAAGATTTATGTTGGAAAATGACTTATCAGACTTCAGTTACTGAGATCCTTCTTACATCGCTTGTTTCTCTTTCTGACGCTTGCTCAGGAGTTTTAGCTTCTGTTGTCAGACCTTATTAAGCAGACTTTGAAAGATTGCTGCAAGTGCACTTGAGGCACTCTGCTCCCAGAAGGGGGCAAGTTTATTAATCTCCCTGTCCTCCCAGTTTTGAATGATACTTGATGACTTATCAGGCCAATATTTCGTGACCTTCCTATTATTGTTAGAATTCTGTTAGGCAACTACCTTAGCTGATGTGGAATGCAGTCAAAAGGTATGTGTGTGTGTATGTAACGGGGTTTTATTTCCTTTTGAGACAGATAGGGAATAATAAAAAAGAAAACTGATTGTTGTCCTTTCTTCTTGAGCTTTCCAAATGTAGTTTTGTTTGGTATTTGAAAATCTGTTTGACATGCCTTTGAAGGCAGCAAGTGGTATTGACAGAATCCTTGTGTAAAGGCCATCTCCCTTGATTATAGTTTCAATTGAAGTATTGCCGAGCTGCTAGAAATCCACCTCATAAGCCTGCTGCATATCCTTTAAAATGGAAATCTGAGTGGCACAGTTGATTTTTTTGGTTTTGCCCTTTTTTTTCTTAAATTAAGGTTTAGCAGATGAAGAGCTTTTTCAGCTGTCTAGACAAGTAACCACTAAAGAGACTGCTTTTCCTGTAACAGTGACCTACTTGCTTATTCTGTAAAGCTAATCCCTTTTGACAGTGACTCCAGAAATTTTCCTTCCTAGATTGCTTGAGCACAGCTGCAGCATCTTCATTTAAAGAAACATTTTTTATGGTGAAAAGAGGTTTTCACATGCTGAAAACATGTTAATAGCTTCTTTTTTATGAAACTGAAAACATTTATACCTAACGCCAACAATTTTTCCTCCTGAAAAAAGGATTTCATACTGAGATAGTGACTCTGAAAGACTCCATTGAATATGAATGAACTCCTCTCTGATTTCTTTTTTTTCTTTTTTCCCCTCCCCTTGCTTAAATAATGAAAGAAAACATCCAACAAAAGCAATGTCAGGAAAAATGCAAGTGGTGCAAAAATGACGGTGTTTAATTTCATTCTTTGCTTGTCTTATTTCTCTGGCCAGGAACAATAACTTCTGTTTATCTGGCATCCAGCACAACTGGGTCCAATCTGAGCCCCAGTGCTGTCATAAGATACTGTGACAGTATCCTGACTATGTAAAGTTGACTACTATGCTATAATGACAGCATTGTTGCCATGGCTTTTAAAATAAGCATAAAAATGCATGGTAAAATGTCTAGAATAACAAAAGGGATTGCTTTTATGTAAAGATTTAGAGACCGTCAAATGATTCTAATTGTATCCTGTCTGTGAATGCCCAGCTATGAAGTGTGCAAATTTTGGAAGAATAGTAGTACAGACAGGGAGGAGTACTGGTAAATGAAGTTGGTAGATGTAGCTCACACTGGATTTCTATATTATTGAAAGGCAGCGAGTAAGGCTTAAAAATTAGATATGTGACTGAATCCCAAACTTGAGAACAAGAGCAGGTCGGGAAATTCAGTGGAACTTGTGCATGTAACTTGTGATTTAAAGTTTTTATTGGACTCGCTCTTTACTGTCTGATAATTTTTTTACTTTAAGCTGTGAATCCAAAATGGTTCAGCTTTTCCAGGTTTATCAGAAATGGGGCTTTCACAATGCAGCGAGTCTGAACTTTTGGAAATTCGCTGTCTGAGAGAATGAGCCAGATCTGTCTCTGACAGGAGCTGTAGGAAAACACTTGAAATGACAGGAGCTGTGCTGACATGCTGAGGATCAGGTCCACTGGCTACTGCCTAACAGCCTCTTCAGGGTATTGAGTGCTTCTGCCTGAGCTTGAACGCAAGGGCTGCCATCCAGTGTTTGATTGCAATCCTTAGGAAGTGTTAAGAGAAGAATTCCTCTTCCCTGAAGTACTATCTTTTCATCTCTCAGCTTTTATTGGAATTAGGAAGTAAATGAGTTCCTGGAGGAATCAGGACAGCAGTGCTTTTGAGGAGGAGGTGGGAATGACTGATGAATGATTTTGAGGTACGCAGAAGTGGTGCAAAAGTTATGGCAGCATGTTTTCTGTGGTGGTGAGTGGCTAAGATGATTTGCAAATACAAAAGGAAGGCACTAGAGCTCAAAGTTCTAAATTGATTGTTTGTTTCCCCTTGGGCTGCAACTGTGCCTCTGCTTTTCCCTGCAGGGGTGGACTTTTAGGTAGGCTTCTTCAGGTAGAAGTGTCTTGGGTGAGGGCAACGGTTAATGCACACACTGCACCTATGTACTAACAGGTGTTCAAGTGGAAGATGATGGACAGATATTTTTTGGGTTGGTATGTGCACAAGCTGCATAGGGATGTAGTAGTCAACTGGCTTTTTACCTTTTCAGAGCGTCCCATAGCCGATAATGAACGGATGCTGGATATTTTGCAGCGCTTTGGGGTGCAGAGAAGTGAGGTTCGTTTCTTTCTTCGGCATGAGCGCTCTTCCTGCCAGGAAGCAGGTAGGTGTTGATCTCAGCTGTGTGTAAGTTTCATTTCATTCCTCAAGGTTAAGGAAACAGTTTGCATATGTTACTGTTTAATTTTTGTAGTCAGTATGGTGTTGCAGCCTGTTTTGGTCTGACTGTTACTTTCTTATGAATAGAGAATGCTAGTAACAGAAAACTTGCTAATTTTACTAAATACTTCATTTTCCTTTGCCAAATGTGAGAACATGAAATCCAGATTGAAACTTCTACAAGTTTTCTAGAGCTAGTCTTCACCATAGCATGATGCAAGGGCATCCTTTGTTAAATATGTTAGCCATAGCAAAATATCTAGAGATTTGTGGTAGTCTGGTCTTTTAATTTAGTAGCCAAACTGTTCTTCAGGTATCTTCTTTGGTCTTAGGATGTTTCACCTGGATAATACTTTACCAGGGTGATAAACTTAGCATATGTGGCAAAAGATAGTTCTTTGATGTCTCTCCCACAGTATACATATTCGTATTAGTTTCAGAAATAGCATTAAATGAACTGCCTGGTCAAGTTCTCTGAGAATGCAGAGATACAATGCTATGCATTGTAAATCTAAATGTGAAACCTAAACGGGTTAAGTGGCATTGGACTCACCGTATTTTAAAAAGGCTAAATGTATCTTAATGTTTAAAATGTGTACTGGTGATAGAATGAATACAAGCAAAGCTAAAGCTTTAGACTGAGTATCTTAAAGAGCAGTTTAGTTGTCAGGATGTATTTTTTCAAGTTCAGGGTGCTTGTAGCTTGAGGATTATTGTCATTTTATTGGCCACAGCATCGCTAAGCAATGTATTTGAGGAAGAGTGAATGAATAGTTAGGGCTCTGCAGTTAGTCTCACAGAGATATGGTCTTGAAATGGAGAAGTAGGTCACGGACATGGCTTCATTGTGTGAATGAGTGAGCTTGGTATTTGGCAACTGAACACCATTTGTACATAATTTGATGGAAACATTAAAGTAGGATTCTAGTTAAGTAGCATCTTTACTGTCACAATGACGGGAAGTAAAAAAATTGTACTTTTAAAACTATGCATCTATAATACACACTTACTAGGGGCCAACTGCCTGTTGACCACAGGAGAAATACTGAAATAGCATACTGTTAGTTAAACTGGTTTTGTTTTTTCTATTTTTGAACAGAACTATAGCTTTAAAATAAAAGTTGACATCAAACAGCAGCCTCTTCAAAAAATGTGTTGTCATCTGCTAAGTTTATCTTGGTGGGAGGCACATGAGAAAAACAGGTGTTTGGGTTCTAAACTATAATGATTGTACTGTTTCTCCTTTTCTATTGAATACTATGTCTAAAAGGATAAGAAAAATCTTCAAATACCTTACCATCTTTGACTGTTCCTGTATTTCTATCTAGGGACTGGACAAAGGTCTCAAGATCCAGCCTTTAAAAGAAATGGTGTGAAAATGCCTGGTGATCGAAGGATAGAGAATGGAGTAAGTGCTTGATGCAATGGCCAGTATAGTGAAAGTGGAGGCTTTCCCTCTTTTGAGACACTGGTGCAAATCCTACTCTGGCAACAAAGAGACCCTTTTGGAGAGGTTGCCAGTGACTGCTCTAAAATAGGCACAGAGCCTCTACCAATTATCATCCTGGCTTTTAGTTTTTAAGATGTCACTGAGATATGTTGGCTACCACATCTGTGCTTGTACAGGTGATCTCAGAGCAGCAAATGCAGCATACTTTTGCCTCCTCTACTTCGATCAAAATTTACTCATATTACTTCAGTTCGTTTGTTTTCTCTTGCAGTTTTGTGTCAGAGATCCCTAATTCCAGATTTCACGTTGAGACCAGTTAGTGTTTCAGCACTGAATCCATTGTCTGTCATTTATTCTTGTTCCATAAGATATAATTACGGATGTAAGATTGAATCTGGATTCAGGAAACATGTGAACAGATAACTAGTAGCAGTGTTGTATTTGAGAATGGTGATTTCCTTCACGCTCAACTATATTTAAACTTTCCATTTTCTACAACTTATGTTGAAGTGCTTTGAATTCCAGTGATACACCTACAACCACAGATTCATCTTGCCATATGTTGAGTGTTCTGTGCTCAGTCAGTCAAAGCTGATTCATGCTGAGCTCAATTATAAAGGGCTCTGAAATGCCTACTTAAAATGCTGCTGGGATTTTACTAGAAATATTAGTGTTCCAAGACATGTTAGCTTGCGTGAGTTGCTGTATTGGGTTGCACATGCCTATGAGTTTACCGCTATTTATACTTTTACCCTAAAAAGATGCTATTTTTCTCAAATTATTCGATTGGATATTCAGTTATGTTTTTTAATTACTTTTCTCATACTTTTCTGCCATAGCTCTAGCCGAATTTAAAGTTCTAGCCTTATCATGCTTTGGGTTTTCTTTGACAGGTGAGTGCTCCAAGGATGGATATGACACTGACTGAACTTCAGGAAATGGCATCATGCCAGCAGCAACAAATTGAGGCTCAACAGCAAATGCTGGCTAACAAGGTGAGTTTGGAATTAGATTAGATCCTGGTTTACAACTGGGAACAAAGGTAGTAAGAGTCACATGAGGTGGAGGGAAGGTTGGGGATTTTTCACCTCTTATAAACAGAGGGGTCCCTTTCTTTGGCAGCCTCTTTCTAAATTTGAAAGTCAACCTATGCAAATACCCAGTAGTAAAATATTAAAATAATGCCAGTGATAGAAGTGACCCTATAGCTTACTAAAAGAATAGAGCATGTAACGTTAAGATATTGTCATTCATCCTAGTGTCTCTGTCAGCTCTGTTTGTGCTCCATGTGGTGAACAGCAATTCACCAGTTTCATCACTGAACAACACTTTTGTCTCTGGATATAATGCTGCCCTGTAATGATATCTTGCCTTCTCCTGATAGAGTTCAATGTGCTTGGTTTCCTGGGGCAGCTGTCTGGAAAAGATACCATGTAGGTGGTAAAAATAACTGGGACAGTGATTTATAAAATGCTTGCAGAACAATAACAGAAAAGCTAAAGAAAGCACACAGGGTGCTCTTGAATCATTCAGGGGAAAAAATACCCTGAATGCATCTGCAGAATGGTGGCATAGAGTTCATATTTGACTTAAGTGTTTTTGGTACATACTACTCTTTAGAACATAACAGAAAATGCTGTTTTTGGGAGAGAATTGTTAATTGCAAGCCTGTCCTGAAGAGTGCTTGTCTGCCTGGGTGGATAAGTTCCCATGCATTTCAGAATGTGCTTTACTGGGAAAGAAGGCTACTCTGAGGATCTGGTCTCACTGCTCTTCCTCTGTCACATGTCCTGCCTTCCTGTCCTCCTGAGATCAGCTGGGGGGTGTGTCCCCCTGTATTTCTTAGTATCTTGTTCAGTTCCCTAGGCTTTCAATAATTGTATCTCAAGGAAGTGCTTCAAACCGTGGCTCTCTAATGATTCTGCAGCACCTGCTAAGTGCTGTTACAGCCTGTCAAAATATCTAATAAAACTTTATTTCTGCTTTATGGTAAGAACAGATATGAAGAAGCCATAATGTAAGAAACTGGTCTGTCAACCAAGTGATTAGAGTTTTCACCTGAAATTTAGCAGCAGAGTTAATACCCATTCTGCCTTGTTTAATTTGCCAAGGCAGAATGTTGCCCTCTTCTCAGTTCCAGCTGAGATGTGTTAAACAGAAGAGAAACCTAAACTTTCACAGCTTCTGTCTGTTTCACTCTCAGGTGATGGCAGTACACCTTCATCTTATAACACTTTAGTCAGTATATATGTGAAATAAGAAATAGTAACATTATGTATATTTACTGTAAAGGAAGTTATAGAAGATAAAAAAAAAGGAAGAGTTTGAGTCTGGATAGCTACCCATCAGGTAGGTGTCTGCTGTCTGTGGCTTGACGAAGAATAGCCTTGTGGGTCTCCCCTGACAGAATTTTTCATTTAATGTGCTTCTCTGGAACAAACCTGCTTTCCTAGATCCCTTTTCAGAGAGACTTTCCATTGCCTCTATCCTGCCTTCTGAAATCAGATGTAATACTAAAAATAGATTCTGAGGGAGGGAAAATGCACTTTCTTTTTAGACACCAGCTGTAATATCTATTTTTTTGACATTTTCCTGCGTGGGAGTGACTCTAAAGTAGTACATACACTAGGTGCTGCCTGGTTTTCTCCAGAGGGCTAGCTAACTTTTTGCTCTGCCTTTTTTATTCAAAGTGCAAAAAGCTGTTGTTTCTAAGTATGACTGGTGTGTGGTTTTTGGGGTTTGTTTTTGTTGTTTGTTGGGGGATTTTTTGTGAGTTTGGTTTGGTTTTTTTCAAGGAAGTATGGAATTCTAATGTTAGTAAGCAGTGGTAGTCTTGGATGTTAGTGGGTGCTTGGGAAAGTCTTACTAATTCTGCTGTATAATGGCCAGTGATTTAAAGGAATTCTCTACAGATGATATAGTGATCTAATGGTTTCTTTTAGGTCTAAACTTGACACATGTATATAGAAACTGATAACACATCATTTTACTCTTACACTCTTGGAGAGGCAAAAGGATCCTTTCCACTAAGGTTCTATAAATGGGGGCCAGGTCACCGTAAAGTTTGTCCCATGTCTTGCATTATCTGTGTTGTGATAGTAGTGATCATTACCAGGAAAGAACACATTTTCAGAGCTTTAGTGTGTGGTCATCACCTGTCTCAAGGAGGTTTTAAAAGTGTGAAGAGTGCTGAAAAATGCTAATGATTTAATGGAATGCCTTCTGTATAAAAAATGCCTAATATTCTTCAGCATGACTTAGTTGTTTAAAATGTGATGTACAATAGCAAACTGTAAAGTATAAGCAGCATGGAGAAGGTAGAGAGGAGGTAGTCATTAGCTCTTGCAGCTCAAGAGACAAGTAGAGTGATTAAGTGAAATTGGGAAATGTCATGGGACGTGTATGCTGGAATTTTTCTTAGGCTTCAAGAGGTTTTGAACAATTTCACAGATGGAAAAGTTACCAGGGGCTGTTATAGACATGGGTACCACCTCTGTTTCAGTAGGTTCTTGTATTACAGAATGGTTATACCTGGAGGGACTATATTGAGACATATTTGTGTTTAGTATGTGTTTGTGCTTGCTCTATTCTCTCTGACTCCCCTTGACACTCTGGGAAGTCAGAATACTGGGCTAAAGCTGATTTGATCTGCTGTGGTGATTGTTTTTGAGATTTTTTTGTTTGTTTAATTAATCCTTGTCTTCACTGCAGGAACAACGTCTGAAATTCCTGAAGCAGCAAGATCAGCGACAGCAGCAGCAAGCTGCTGAACAGGAAAAACTGAAGCGATTAAAGGAAATTGCTGAGAATCAAGAAGCCAAACTGAAGAAAGTGAGAGCACTGAAAGGCCATGTGGAGAAAAAACGACTCAGCAATGGGAAATTAGGTGAATTGCTGCTTGGGGAAAGTAGCCTGTGATTTTTCATGAAGTACTGTTCCTGGAACTCTAAAATTGCTGGTGATTTTGGTGATTCAGAGGGAGGTATTTACAGTGCTCCAGGAAACGTTAAGCTTGACAATTTCACATCTTGTTTTACCCATAAGTCTTGCAAATGACTTAGAACAAAATATATTTTCTTACTGTATTTTAAAATATCCCGTAAGAGCACCCTATGTTTTGGAGCCTAGCTTGTCTGCTCTTTAATTACAGTGTAGGTTATTTTCCTTTCTTGAATACCTTTGTGTACCACAGTAACTCTTCTGTCCTTGATGTCAATACCCCACATACTCTGAGCGTTATTTTCTTAGCCTGATACCCATGTTGTCTTTTATGCAAGAGGTAATTTAATGGCCAAATTGGCTGGATATTTCCATTTGAGTTATGCAAATCTGACCAGGGTCTGGCTTGCTACAGTACTAGTTGGTAGTTCAGCATGTTGATGCAACATTAAATATTTATTTCAAGCAATATTGGCACACTTTCTTCTGCCTACCTTTTCATCATCTCTCTATAGGTATTGGGCAGAACTTATTTCCAGCCTGATACAAATGAGAATATTTTAGTTTGTTGAGGTAAAAGATAAATATGTTTTAGTAGGATGCATTGTAGTTTACAGATAAAGCAAAAGTGTTTTTCTATGGGGAGAATGCATTTTCTGTTTGGGTTCTGTTGCACAAAACAAACACGAGTTTGAAGGCATAGGAGGATGGTAGAATAATATAAGATCTTGGAGCATATGAAGCAGTTTCCCTGCACCATCCCTCGAAGGTCTGGTCTTGGTACTTTCTTGAAGTCTTACTGATTCCTTCAACTTTGTTCTATAATAGAACAGTTTTGGCAGTGGGGGCAGCTGATGACAGGTGTGTGTAATAGACTGTAAAAAGCCCTCTGAATCTTTGTTTAATATAACAGCTCAAGTCTTTTGCCACGGAGTTCTTATGACCTAAATTCGGAGTTCTAAATATCATAAATAATGCCTTGTGGTTGAGTGAGTGTCTTCCTGCAAAAAAAACAGCATTCAGTTAGACTTCTACAGATGAATTCAGTCTGGTATTGTGGTTTTGTTTATTTCCATGCTTCAGAAAGTAAAAAATGTTCTTTTTCCTTCCCCATAAGTGCTCTAAGTAGACCAAATTTTCATAATCATGCCAGTGAGTTTGCTTTTGCAAATGCTTGGAGGAAGAGCTGGTTTGACAGGAGCCATGAGTTGGTTGGCTCTGTGCTGCTCTGCTCCAGATGAATTCAGTCTGGTATTGTGGTTTTGTTTATTTCCATGCTTCAGAAAGTAAAAAATGTTCTTTTTCCTTCCCCATAAGTGCTCTAAGTAGACCAAATTTTCATAATCATGCCAGTGAGTTTGCTTTTGCAAATGCTTGGAGGAAGAGCTGGTTTGACAGGAGCCATGAGTTGGTTGGCTCTGTGCTGCTCTGCTCTGGAGGCTGGCAGTGCGCTCTCTGTCCCCTTAACCGCTGCCTTGGAAGCAGCCCACGCTCAGCTGTTTCTCAGGGCAGCTATTGTGCTCTCTTGTCCTTTCCAGTGGAGGAAATTGAACAGATGAACAGCCTGTTCCAGCGAAAGCAGCGCGAGCTGGTGCTGGCCATGTCAAAAGTAGAGGAACTCACCAGGCAACTGGAGATGCTGAAGAACGGCCGAATTGATGGTTACCATGACAACCAGTCAGCTGTAGCTGAGCTCGACCGCCTGTACAAGGAGCTGCAGGTAATGGAAAGCCAGCTTGTGACCCACAGCTTCAAAGGTCTTAAATTGGTTGGGTTGTTTCTTACCTCATTGGAAAGAAACTCCATTGCTCCTGTTCCTGAGAGAGCTTCATAGCTGCCTGTGTGCTGAGGGTGGAGGGTTAGTAGTGCTGTGCTCAAGGTAAACAGAGGAAGGAGCACACAGTGTATATACCTTTCCTTTCTGCAAAATTTGGAGACTAACCAGTGTTTACTCTGGAGAGTAAGCATGACTTGACTTCTTAGAAGGCTTTTCTCTTTCGAACCGTTTCCTCTCCCCTATCCTGAAAGTTAATTTCTTTTTATTTTTGTTGTTTTTCTCCTCCTCCCCCACTGCTTTGTGAATTTATTCAGTTGAGGAACAAACTGAACCAAGAGCAGAATGCCAAGCTGCAGCAACAGAGGGAGTGTTTGAACAAGCGCAACTTGGAGGTGGCAGTCATGGATAAGCGTGTTAATGAGCTGCGAGAGCGGCTGTGGAAGAAAAAGGCAGCTCTGCAACAGAAAGAGAATGTACCAGTAAGTGTGGGATATTTAATAAACACAAAATTAATTCTATTTGTTGCCTGTCTGAAGTAAAAACTTGCTGGTGGGGAAGGTTGTTGTTCAGACACTAGACTTATTTTCATCCATGTGTAGTTGAAGTTTTGTATTTACTAAAGTCCTTTCATGGTACATTAGTTTTAACCTACTTGCTCTTTACTGCCAAGAAATCTTATTCTGTCACGGATCTTTTTAAGAGTGTTTGAGTTTTGGTTTTTTGGTGTGGCTTATTTTTTTTTTTCCTATTACTACCTCAGGCTTATAATTCATAAAGCTTCTTCAAAAAAGCATTTTTAATATTGGAGTATCATTTGCTACTTGTTTTGTCCTTTTTGACCTCTGTTTCAAACTCTGATGGACGGATACTGCAGCATAAAATTCTTCTAAATTTTCACCTTTTTTTCCCTCCAAGGTTTCTTCAGATGGGAATTTACCACAGCCAGTGGCTTCTGCTGCAAGTCGAGTGGCAGCAGTAGGTCCTTATATCCAGTCCTCTACTATGCCACGTATTGCTTCCAGACCTGAACTTTTAGTGAAACCAGCATTTTCAGATGGGACACAAGCATTGCAGGTACCTGATGGTCCACTAAAAACACAAACTCTACCTAACATGAGAGCTGGGAACAGTTCACAAGCTAAAGCTCCTGCAGGTAATATCTTGTAATTAATATTTCCTATCCAGACATGTTTTGTTTTCTTATTTAACAGCTCTGTTTTGGCCTTCTGTTGTTTTTTTGCTGTTTTGGTTTTTTTTTTTTTAAAAGCAAAGTGTTACTTGAGGTGTCAGTCTTACTACTTGGAATTTTTTTGTACCAGTGAATATATATTATAAGCACTGAGATGATATGACTCAATGTTATAAATTAAGTATTTCTCTTGGTGTAACAACTCAGATTGCTCTCTATGTGGAATGTAGGAGGGTTTTTCTGTAAACTACTGACATTTTAAAATAGTCCTGAAAGCTATACAACAGCATGTATTTGAGTTTCTAGAGGCAGTTTTAGGTAACAACCTGGTACCTGGACTTAGAAAACTTGGCATTGCTAGATTATGGTATGTTTTGGAAATGACACTTGTAGAGAATTAGCCTATGTTACAAGAAATATTACAAAGGAGACGACTGTAGCACAGAAATAGCAATAAATATACTGACTCATTGATGGTATGAGGCTTGGCCTCTCCTAATTGAGGGTTAATGAAGATTTGCTTAGCTTCTCTCTATGGTTTTCTACTATGAGAGTCAGTTCAATTCTGTAAGAGAGGTCTGGAGAAACTAGAGGCTTGCAAATATATCTTCTGTGCATCTTTTTCACTCTTCAGCTGGGGGAGAAGAGAAACGGATCTTCCCAAAAGGAAAAAATGGAGACTTGAGCTTGTAGAATAGATCTGTTTACTTTTTTGTCTTCCCTCCCTCCATCTCCAGTTCTGGCAGATATTATTAAAGTAACCACGGCACAAAAGCAGTCCAAGTGTCTCTTACTGTAATTGGAGAATGGAGGATTGTTTTGTTTCATCTGGTTTGCTGATCCTAAAACTGCTGGAGTGGAATTTTAGCTTTAGACCATACAAAATTATTTTTTTCTCTGTAGGAGTATGTGGTGGTGAGCTATTTATTTGAACTAAAACATTACTTCATATTTTTTAGCATTTGGACAAAATGACTGCTTTCCTTGAGAGTTTTTGGTACTTTATCAGACTGAAATTTTCTCCTGCTGCTTATCATTACTATCTGAATTTAGCATTACTTATTGTATCAGGTAATTTAGAATTTAGTAGAGAGAATTTGGTGAAATATTTAATAGCAAGTTGCAGGCATTTTCTTAGTGATTTTTCCAGATCTGACTGTCTTCTCCAGTGAATGTAAAGGTCAGTTTTAATGCAGTATATAATATATAATATGCACATTAAACATACAGATGGCCTGTTTTGGATATCACTGGCAGGGTCTGTGCTTTAAAGCATTGTGTTTTTCTTTGCCCAATAGATCTTGCTTATACTTTCTTACATCTTAACACTTATAACTTGCTGCAAATATCCAAGGAACGTTCGTACTCTCTGGAAAGAAGGCAGTCTAGAGAAGTTTCTTTTCTGAATGCTCTAAGTGTAGATGTGTGCTTGGACAAATAGTTTTGATGCTGCTTTGAAAGTTGTTCCTCAGCTTGGTTTTGCATTCTCTTTTTTAAACAAAAAAAGAATGAAAATCTATAGTTGTTATACTCATCCTATATGTTATACTTGTACACTGTCTAGACCTGACTGTTAAAAAAAAACCAACAACCCTACCCGTAATAAGTCAATAAACAATGTTATTTTAGCTTAATCTTTTCAACTTGTTCTCTCGTAGGCTCTGTGGTCTCTAGTACGAAACCTTCCTCATCTGCCACTGACTGGAGTAACTCAAATGCAGACAATCATGTTAGTCAAGTATCAGCCTTGACTTCAGGAAGAGCAGTTGCGGCTAGTGAAGGGCAAAGTATGTTCTTCTGTGCTTGGATTAATCTTACAGTTAGTTTAGTTAGTTTATGGTAGATGACTTTTCTAAATGATTCAGTAAATATTGAGAATTCATTTGAAAGCACAAAAAACTTTATTGCCATATAGGCTTTAGTATGGTGGTGTAACCAAACCCACAACTCACTTCAGGTGGTGAAGTAGATACTAGTGCCTCTTAATACATGCTCCCATTCAATTGGCATAATACAGCATTTGGCAGGCCCTTGGCTCATTAGCACAAGGGTAAGATAGGTGCAAAAAGCATCCCTTGCACACACTGTCTTGAATATTGCACAGAACAGGACTTATTCCTACAGTTGTGCTGTCCCTTTTAAAAGTAGTCTTCTCTCTCTTTAGCAGCAGCTGAAGGAGAAACTTTTTTGCGAGACAGAGAGAAGAAAGTGCGTCCATTCTCCATGTTTGATTCTGTGGACCAGTCTGCTGGGCTTGGCACTCTGAGGAAAAACCAGAGCAGTGAAGATCTCTTGCGAGAAGCACAGGTATACACAAAACTCAGGCTGCTTCATTCCCTCCGACAGGGATTGCTGCACAGCTTTTCAAACATTGCTGTCAGAAAGCATTTTGAGAAGTACCTAGGTCGTCTTTTTAAAGACTGCTTCTAAGGAAGAAAGTCTTTTAGGCCTTTAATGGCAGTTAGTAACTCAAAATTGTTCCCTACAGTCGCAGTGATGGAAATCTGTTTTGACTGAATACATAACAAAGGCTGTATTACTTGTACTAGTGTGTATGTGTATATTTTTTTCCCCCACAGGTTATATGCTCAGTGGCATTTGCATGGGTTTTTAAAAATAATTTACATACTTGTTTCACTGTTTAATGCAGCAGTGTCATTCAAATGTCTGATTGCAGCAAGACTTCCCACCTAAAGTTGGACACAAGCGCACAATTTGATCAGGCAGGGGTGAAGTAGCATAGAACTGGGGATGAAAAGTGCTTTGTTGGAAAACAATTTGTTGCTTACAGATGCTACTGTATTACTGTGCCCTGCCATTGTTTGGCATCTTAAACATAGCTGTTACAGAAAGATTAAAAGAGAATGGGTTCAAAGTACATAAACAAAAATGATGATAAAGTGTTTCAAGAAGCTTCTTCATGTTTCCAATGTTGAAAACAGTACTGCAGCAACAGTACATATGCTAGTTACTGTGTTGTTTTTTGGTCCTTCACAGCAGAACTCTTATACTATGTTTTACTGTTTAATCTTAATTTATTTTTCATGTGTGTCTTTCAGACAACTGGTAAAAATGTAACAACAAAGGTACCACCCCCTGTCCCCACAAAACCAAAACAGATAAACTTGCCTTACCTTGGTCAAGCCAGTCATCTGCAACCTTCGGATACAAAGCTGGATGGAAACTTGCAGAAGCTGCCTTTGGCTACTGTAGCTATGGGGAACAAGCAAAAACCAGTGGCACAACAGCCTTCCCATCCTTCTCAGCAGATACAGCAAAGAATTTCAGTACCTCCTGCAGGTTCTTCCTCGAGCCAGGACCAGATTCTTCCCTCCTCTAAACAGGAGAGTCCCCCAGCAGCAGCTGTGAGACCTTTTACTCCTCAGCCGTCCAAAGAGACTTCACTCCCACCCTTTCGAAAGCCTCAAACTGTGGCTGCAAGTTCAATTTATAGCATGTACACACAGCAGCAGACTCCTGGGAAGAACTTCCAGCAAGCAGTGCAGAGTGCTTTGACAAGGGCACAGACCAGAGGACCACACTTCCCAAGCAGTAAGCATGTGGCTCTCTGCCTCTCATGTTTTGATAAACCTCAGGTAGATGTACTTTTCACCTAGTCTGTGGGTATAAAACTGTTCCTTAGGGGAATTAAGCAGGTGAGTGCAGCTGTAAGAATCTTAGGTGGATCTTGCATGCTGTATACCAGTGTTAACAAAGGGCAAAATATCTGACTTATGTTTGAAAGATAAGTAATAGTAAACCTGGTTATCAGATTAATTCTGTTCAGTTGATTTATTATCCTGCTTCTTTGCCCCATGTAGGTGAATCTGGTTCTGTAGTCTTTTCTTTATTGTTCTTTTGTTGATCAAATATTCAAACTTGTCATTCTCTCCACCCCCCTCACCCCTCTCTGAACTGCTCCACAGTCTATGGCAAACCTGTGATGGCAGGAGCTGGTGTACAGAATCAGCTGCTGCAGACAGAGAACGTCTACTCAAACCTTCAAGGCAAGCCAGGCAGTCCGGAGCCCGAGATGGAAACAGCCTCTGCTCAGGAGAATCACGAAACAGAGCGAATCCCCCGTCCTCTTAGCCCGACCAAATTGCTGCCTTTCTTATCCAACCCATACCGCAACCAGAGCGATGCTGATCTGGAAGCACTACGGAAAAAGCTGTCCAATGCGCCCAGACCGCTGAAGAAACGTAGCTCTATTACTGAGCCAGAGGGACCTAACGGCCCCAACATTCAGAAGCTGTTGTATCAGAGGACCACTCTAGCTGCAATGGAGACTATCTCAGCTCCATCACATTCCTCCAAACAGACGACTTCAACTGCCAGTCCTGAAAGCCCAGCAGAAATTCCAAATCCTTATCTAAGCACAGAATCGGAAAAAGAAACAGCTGTTTCTATGCCGGAACCAGCTATTGCTGAGGAAACAGAAAACACACCAGCAGAGCAGAAGGAAGTTGTTCTCCCCTCCACAACTCTGGACACTGTACCTGAGTGTGTGTCAGATAGTGGTGAACTCACGCAGCCGAAAACAGAAGAGCCAAGCCTAGAAGCATCATTGCCCCTGGAGGTATATATGGAAGAATATCCTCCATATCCACCCCCTCCCTATCCATCTGGGGAACCAGAGAGTCTGGGAGAGGACTCATTCAATATGAGGCCTCCTGAAGTTACTGGGCAGTTTTCCTTGCCTCCTGTAAGTATTGGCTTAGAATTTGGGTACCCTGTCAATAAGTCATCATTGCTGTAAACTCTGTCCATTATGTTGTAGAGCTTTAGGAGATGTGGGAGAACAGTCACACAAACAGTTTAGAAGTCTCTCTGTGGATACCTGTTTGTGTAATGTTCTTATCTCCTGACTGAGTGATGATAATGAGAAGTCGATTGTCCCTAGAATTAATGACATAATGAAAAGTTTAGAATGGAATCTGATACACAAATAGTAAAACTCTTCAGGGCTCTGAAGAACATTCCTTATAGAAGTCTGCCTACTACATGCAAATTTTACTTCCTTTTTAAGAGAAAATAAATTGGCTTTTTTTTTCCTGAGGTACAGATACAGATTTCACAAGCATTTCCCACTATTGCTGACATTAGCTGGAAATTAATTATCTTAATCCTGGATTGCATCTGTTTATCTAAAAGTACCTTGCTTGAAAAATATGGAGAAACAGTCTTCTTTAGATTCTGCTTTAAGAACTCATTTGTATACATCAAGTGTTTGCAATTTGTCCACTGAAATATTTTCTGAATTTCTTTGGAAGCTGACTTAACATCAGTCTGTTCTCAAATTGCATCAAAATGGAGTCTCTTTGAGCTAAGTGTAGGCAGCATTTTTACAATCTTGTTTGTTTTGGAAGTTTGTACATGTGTGTGGGATGATGTTATCTCACTGTTGTAGAACAGAAATGTTGCGTGTTTTTGGATTCTCAAGGACTTTCTTTAAAAACCTATCATGAATACAATTTTAATAACTTGATACATGAAAGTGTTTTTTTCCTTCTGTCACTTCAGGGGCGAGGAGTTAAAAACTTTAAATGTAATTTTTTTTTAACCTTGTAATTTCTGCATAGAATAGACATTGCATGTTTTCATGCTTTAAAGATTTTGTTCTTGCTCCCTTTTACAAGGAAACTTGAGTGGTAGGATTTCCTGAATTGTAAGAACTCATTTCTGGTTGGTTTTGTAATTCTGCAATGATGATAAGAAACCGGCCCAACTTCTTGATTTCATATTTAAATACATGAGTTGTGCTGACAGGCACAGCCTGCAGTTTTGATATTATGTATGAATCAACAGGCAGAAGAGTATTTTCTGGGAATCTCTTCTTATATATCTCACATGTTTGCTCTTGCAAAATGTGTGTCATTTCTATTCATCTTTGCCTGGACATCTGTCAGAAATTTACATACCCTCATGAATAGTGTTTATTGCTGCTGCACAGCCAGCTGGGGCAAGCACTGAGCTAATGCCTGCATGTTCCTGAGCGAAAGAGTACATACTCAGCTATAGAAATATTTGGTTTCCAGTATCAATGGGAGCATTGAAAGCATCTCTACAGTTGGTTCTATATTCTTTGCAAAACCATTTTCTGTAACTGTTCCTGCTAAGCTCTGCTAGACTTGGGAAAATATTAGGAACTTAACATTGGTGCTTAAAATGGTGTTGATGTTTAAAATCAAGGTGACTTCTGTATTAGAGTTGAATAGTGATCATTTCTAACATGCTTAACCTAATAGATTCACAATGTGTTAGGGAATTGATAGAAAATAGTAAAAATTTCACATGAAACACTGATTTAATTGATCATTTCTGCTGCCATTCCCAAATAAGCAGTTTTGTATTTGGGGAAAAAATGTGCCTGTAACTTGTGCTACTTTCCACAGGGGAAAAGGACAAACTTGCGTAAGACTGGCTCTGAGAGAATTGGGCATGGAATGAGAGTGAAATTCAATCCCCTTGCATTGCTTCTGGATTCATCTTTGGAGGGAGAGTTTGACCTTGTGCAGAGAATAATTTATGAGGTACAAATGCTAACTTGTAAGACAAGGAATTTCAACTGAAGTTGCATCTTTCCTGGACTGGGGAAGCTATAAAGAATGGAGTACAGCCTGGATCTGTCCTTGAGGAGCTAAGTCCTGACAGGTCATAACTGATCATACTGATCACTGAGGCTGATTTGAAGTATATTTAGCATAAAGACTATAAATATGCAGGACAACAGTTTCCTCATTTCTTATGTAGTGTTTCATCCCCATCTGGCATGTTATCAGCTAATTTTATAAGCAAAATCCATGTGAACTTTGTTCACTTAAGTAGGTAAATATCAGAAATTTGTTAAAAGTACATTTACAAAGTTATGAAGATACTGTTTTTCAGAACCACTCTAGGTTCTGACTGTTAAAAGGCCACTGCAAGCTTATATCTGAGTCTTGTTGCAAAATTTGTTGTAGTCTTCTGATTATTGCTCATGGCCTTCCTAGAAATGTCTCAAAATCATATTTCTGAATAAGACAACTCATTTTTATATGTGAGGAGATGTTTATTCTAGAGTTTCACCAGAATGTGAATGGTTCCTTTCTGGCTGTATAGGTTGAAGATCCTAGCATGCCCAATGATGAAGGAATTACTGCACTGCACAATGCTGTGTGTGCTGGGCACACGGAAATTGTGAAGTTCCTGGTGCAGTTTGGTGTGAATGTGAATGCTGCAGACAGCGATGGATGGTAAGAATTTCTCTTAAGTGGTACCTTACAGGTGTTCTCCACAAGAGATCCAGGGTTTGGGGGCTGCTGCAGGCCCCTCAGAGTGTCCCTCAGTTTGCTCCTATGGAGCTGGTAATGACTTTCCCACAGTAAAGCAACAGCAATTCTCTGTGGGGCATCACATGAGAATAAGCAGAGGTGAAAATAGGCAAATTATACTCATGTTCCTATATGAAAAAACCCCTGTGTCCGAGGCCCAGTAGGGTGGATACAGTTGTCAGGAAATTGCTCTGTTTCATTGAAATATTGAAGACATCTTATGCATAATGAGTCTTATGCTGTAATTCCCAATGTTCTGTGTGAGACACAAGTGCTCTGGGCTGTATCTAGCCCTGCAAACTCTCCTCGGTTTGTTGCCAGATACTCAGACAACTTAAAACCAAGTGATAAACCACACCCTACAAACTGCTTGTGACTGATATAATGGGTTACAAATCCTTCTTACAGGTAGGTTAGGAGATTATTTACAAAAGCTAGTTGCAGGTGACAGCAATTTGACTATTATTTCTGCCTGTAACAAAAGTGTCTGAGGCCTAAAACTGAAGAAAGATGCTTGTGGCTCCTCAACCTCAGTAGTTATCCCAATTACTTGCACTTGTCACCAAGTCAAATCTTGAAGTAATTGTCTGCATTGTAAGAGCCATGATGTCAGGAGGATTTCTGAGTGGTTTTATAATATTAATTTTTAATTTTTTATTTCCCTAATCAATGTTCTTAAAATGTTAATGGATTATAAAAAGGTAGCATAACTACAGACCTGTATGGAAGCCTGGCTTTAAGGCTCAAGCAGCTCCCAGTAGCTCCTGTTATCTGTGAAAAGTAATTGCTCTTGACATCCTGGGTTAAGTGCTTTGGTGGCAAACCTTCAGTGCTGCAGTATGGATTGCTAGAGGTCATGCATGAAAGTGGTTTGCTCCCAGGAGTCTGTGAGAACTGCTATGAGCACTGTAAGTGTCATCTTTTCTTCTTGCCTTGCAGGACTCCATTACACTGTGCAGCATCTTGCAATAATGTGCAGGTGTGCAAGTTTCTGGTGGAGTCAGGTGCAGCTGTATTTGCAATGACCTACAGTGACATGCAGACAGCTGCAGACAAGTGTGAGGAAATGGAGGAGGGCTACACACAGTGCTCTCAGTTCTTATATGGTAAGTGTCATCACTGAGTTTTGGAGTGTGCTAGTGGCTTGCCTGGCACTTTTCAGAATGTTTTTTGCATGAGGAGTGGTAAATGGCACACTTAAGTTGTGTGCCCGTGCCTTGGGCTCCTCTTGGCAAGAGAGAGGTTTAAGCCAACTTCCTGTCACAGAATGAGTTCCATCAAGTAACTTAATAACGTTCAACCTGTAGAGGAGATCTGAGTAACAAAAGGTTTTCCCGACATTAAAAACCTTGAGTTAAGCATGTGCATTGACAGGTACACTACTGGGAGGTGGCAATTAGGTGAATCTTGCCACTAAGTATTTCTTTTACATAAAACCAAAAGTGGTATTGATATCTCAGGAGGCAGTTCATACCTGTTACCTAGTGTCTTTAAATGAGGAGTATTTCCTAATGTGCACTTTAGAGCTAAGAAAGGTATTGCCAAGTTTCTGCCTTGATGGATGTTGGTAAGCACTGAATTTGACTTTACCTTTCTGACTTTTTTTTTTTCTTCGCTTGAATTTAAAGAAATCCCATATTAAATTTAGATTTTATTCAAACAGTAAGACAACAGAGATACTATCTGTTAATACAGAGAATGAATTCTCCCTAGGGTGGGATGAGTATTAGTCAGTGAGGTTTTAAATTACTTTTCTCTGTTTTATATGTAGTTCTTGTCTTTTAGGCACCTACCAGCTGGTGCGTCATCTCTCTCTAAGAGGTTAGAGTAACAGCAATATAGCACAGTGTAAAAAGCTGTAATACAGCCTTTGTTTTTGTGGAACAGGTGAGACCTGAGTTTCTATAAAATGTTCAGCCAGCATATTTCAAAACAGTCTGTCCAACTGTCCTCACTAAGCTTGAAAACTGTATCTCTTGGTGGCAAATAAAGTTTTCACTATGAAGGGAGGAAGCCTTGTGGGCTAAGCAAAATTCCATTTAGTTTTGTACCAGACTCCCAAGAGTGGTAATCAGCAGCAAATACCCAAGGAAATTTGTAGGACTAGACAAAAAATAGTAATACTTGTCCAATATTTTGTACTGGTTATGACTCTGATATGAGTTAAGAGATGGTATCTTCTGTGTTATATAGTGCTTGAGGGATTTCTTTCAGGAATCTGTCTAATTCTTAAATTCAGGTAAACAGCCTACAAGATCCTGTGGAAAGGAGGTTCATGGCTTAATTACATATAGTATGAAGAACAGCAAATTTATTTTTTTTTTTCCCTGCCATCTAGTGATCTTACTTGATACTCTAGTTTTTGTTGGGTTTGGGATTATTTTTTTTTTTTGTGATGAGATACTTTTCAGTGGATTCTGAAGGGAGTGTGAGGCTTTGGCCTATTCCCAGCTTTTCCAAATGGAAACCTCTGAAATTACGGGTCTCTTGATATGTTGACTTTTCAACTATCAAATTTCTATATTGTTCCATTAGGAATGAATCCTATTGCCAAGACTATTTCTGGTTAGCTATAGTTATTGTAAAAAATTATTCACTGGCTAAATCTGTTTCTGTAAAAAGTTTGGGAATGTCTATCTGTTTCCAGAACAGGTACTGCATTAAAACCTGGCCCTCAGCTCATCAGTATGGTAGTAAACCCTGGTGTAATCCACTGATTCACCTAATCCTTTTTTTGTTGTAAATGATGAACAATATTGAATGCCATCAACAAGTACAAGTAGGTTTACATAAAACCACTAGTCCTTTACCATTGTTTAAATGACAAGTCTGATGCTGCCTAAGTATGGAGTTTTTCACTTTCTAAGTGAAAAGCTTGTGCTCTCTCCAAGGGCATGTTTGCCCTGCTACCCTCCTGTGAGTACTCACAAGGAGGTGTGAACACCTCCTTAGGAGACCCAGCTCCATTGTGTGAATCTTTTCTTTGTCTGCTTTGGTGTTCAGTGCTCAGTTTTACCTTCCACGTGGGTGCAGAGCACAGCTTTTGCCAAACCTCTAATCATACTGAATAGAAGGCAGGGGAAGAGCTGCTCTGAGCAGAGCTTATCATGCAGTGGAAGTTATTTAATTTTATGTGATGAGCTGGTATGCAAAAATAACTTGATTTGAACAGATGCTTCCTTTAGCGGATGTAGGTAAGACTCCTGTACAATAGATTGTAATAGGTAAGTGATAAAAGAGAAATGACAAGTTTGGTGATGCAGTGTGTACTGTACTCTTTGCCCCTGGAAATACCAAAACCAAACAAAAAAAACCCCAGTAGAATTCAGTATTTTAAAATTGAATAATTACCTAAGAGAAAATTTGTATACCAGCTGATTAAGATAACTTCCTGTTTGCTGCTTAGAGGCTGAGGAATGCATACAGAATAGTATTTCATCCTTGGCTACAGCTGAAAAATGATCAAGTTCTAAATGACATCTGCAAGGCATGTGTGTACTCCAATGCACCTTGGTTCAGAAGTAATTTAGCAGAATTGTTTCTGAAGTCAATGCTGGAAAAATAGTGTCAAAAAGTAAGAACTGCTGAGATAAGTGTCTGCTGGCAGTTAACAGCCGAATCTTCTCAGGTGCAAGTCTGAGATGTAGCTTGTTCTAAAGTTCTGAAATAAAGTCACACCTCAAGCATCAAAATAACAGTGGTGGTCAACATAAGCAGGTATTAACTGAAAGAGATTACCAATGGACTAAAAGTACAAACAAGATTTTCTTGTTCATCACTTTGATAAAAGGTAGTATTTTTGTGTTGACATTTTCTAGACCTATCAGTGCTCCTCTCCCCATTGATGTCATATTTTTTGAACACATATAAAGAAGGAATCTGTCTGCTGTGTGTAAAGGCTAAGTTCAAAATGCCACCTCTTCCAGGGCTGACTTTGAGTAGGCTGATGGCAACAAGGTGCTAAGTGTGATAGGAATTGATGTTGTTTTTTTTCTTTCCTGGATTGCTCTCCAGTAAGACTACAGCAGTCTTTCCACCTTTTGTCTATTTCCTGTTGGTTTTTTTTTTTCATAGAATTTAAGGGTTGGAATGACTGGACCTTACAGATCATCTAGTCTCAACCCTCCCTGCCAGCAGCAGGGACACCTCCTCACTAGATCAGGTTGCCCAAGGCCTCATCCAGCCCGGTCCTGAACACCGGGGTCAGGGCAGCCACCATGTCCCTGGGCAACCTGACCTGTTCCATCATCACCCTTAAAATAAAATACTTCTAATATCTAACCTAAACTGCTCCTCCTTCAGTTTGAATCCATTACCCCTTGTCCTGTCATTGCAGTTCCTAACAAAGAGTTCCTCTCCAGCTCCCTTGTAGATATCCCTTCAGATATCGGAAAGTTGCTCTGAGGTCTCCACGAAGT